TTCATCATTTGATGAAGGGCCAACGGTACTGCCCACATGTTGTGGATCCATGGCCTCCCGAGTAGTGCATTATATCTCATGTCACCTTCAATGACATGGAATTTTGTATCTTGGATGGTCCTAGCCACGTTTACTGGTAGGATTATCTCCCCTTTCGTTGTTTCACTTGCCATGTTGAAGCCGTTTAGGACTCGATATGTAGGCACAATTTGGTCCTGCAGGCCGAGCTGCTCTATGACCCTCGATTTGATTATGTTTGCTGAACTACCTGGATCCATTAGAACACGTTTAACTTGAATTTTATTTAGCAAAATAGAAATTACCAGGGCGTCGTTGTGCGATTAAGAAATTCCCTCCGCTTCTTCGTCATCAAATGATAGGACGCCTTCGGGCACATAGCTTCGAGTCCGTTTTTTTATGGTGATTGACACCTTGGTACGTTTGAATATAGGCCCTTATGGAACATCGACCCCGCCAACGATCATATGAATTACATGCTACGGTTCTTCCTGCTCATTCTTTCTGTTGGCGTCTCTTTCTCTGAAATGATTCTTAGCTCGATCACTGAGGAACTCTCGAAGGTGGCCTTCGTTGAACAATCGAGCTACCTCCTCCCTCAGCTGTCTGCAGTCTTCGGTCCTATGGCCATGCGTGCCATGATATTTACACATCAAGTTCAGGTTTCTTTGAGAATGGTCAGTTTGTATAGGTCTGGGCCACCTGGTGTCTTTGATCCTTCCGATAGTTGATACAATCCCAAATGCATCGACACTGAAATTATACTCCGATAACCAAGGTGCTTCCGCGGGATCGGTATGTTTGTCCAAACCATTCTTACTCATAAGCCCCCTAGAATTTTGCCCTCGATCATTTCTTCGATCGTTTTGTGGAGGGTTGCACCCCGGACCATTGTTTCTCCGATCTGTGAAATATGGCTGATATCGTCTCTATTCGACCTTGGTTCCCTGTCGGTATCCCTCGGGGCTTTAACTGCCAATCTGTTTGGATGAACTGAACCCGAGGGGGCTCCTAGTTGGTCGTCCTCGACCCTGATCTTCGATTGATAACGATTACGCACATCCGCCCAAGTTACAGCTGGATACTCGATCAAATTTTGCTTCAACTACCATGATGCTATCGAACTCCGCTCATTCAATCCCTGGGTGAAAGCTTGAACGGCCTAATCATCTATGACCGGTGGTAATTCCATTCGCTCCATTTGAAATCGGGATACGAACTCCCTTAGCATTTCATCACCTCTCTGTCTTATCTTAAAAACATCTGATTTTCGTGTTGCGACCTTTATGGCCCCGGCATGAGCCTTCACGAAGGCGTCCGCTAACATAGCGAACGAGTCGATGGAATTCGGTGGCAAGTTGTGATACCAAATCATTGCTCCCTTTGACAGAGTTTCCCTAAAAAATTTCAACAAAACCGACTCGATGTCATCATCATTTAAGTCGTTTCCTTTAATCCCGCATGTATACGAAGTGATATGTTCATTAGGATCGCTCATCCCGTTGTACTTAGGTATATCCAGCATACGGAATTTCTTAGGAATGGGCTTCGGGGCCGCACTCTGAGGAAATGGCTTTTGCAAGAACTTTTTTTCATCCAAACCTTTTAAGATCGGGGGTGCTCCCAGTATTTGATCAACACGGGAGTTATATGTTTCCATTTTTTTGTCGTTATCTTTGATTTTTTTTCTCCCAAGTCGATTCTCTTGGTGAGCTCCTCGAGCATCTTCATAATTGCAGGATCAGTCCCCGATCTAATACTGTTCGACCTTTTTGGCACCGGCTCAGTACGGCGAGTGATTTCTGGTTCGACCACACTCGGAGTTTTATGTTGACTTTGAAGCTGAGCGATAGCAACCTGCTGAGCTTGTAGCATTTCGAATATTACCTAGAGACTAACTCCCCCGTCTCCTACACCCTGTGTTCCTTGGCCCCCAGATCGGACTTCCCTACGTACACTTCCTCCGGGGTCCGCGTCTGAATCCGCATTCAAAGCAATGTGCGAACTAACATCGACTGATTCTGCAATCGGCACTTCCCCAGGGTTAATCGGTGGCACACCGGCTCCTGGAGCAACTACATTATCATTTTCCACGTGAAGTCCAAGACCATCATCGCCATGTACGGGTGCATTTTGCGAGTTTGACATGATTCAACCTGAGAACAAAAATTGTTGACAAGAACGAGTGTGAAAATAATGTGTGTTATCATAATCAGTACTGAAACAATCACTATTATCCTTAGCCCCACGGTGGGCACCAAACTATTTACCCTAAAATCCGAGTAACAATTAAACTTGTATTGTGATTTTAAATATATGTGATTTAATCCAATACTAATTGATAAACAAGGAATCTAATGTATAAATTTAAAGAGTAAGGTAAGTCACACCGACGTATAAGCAAACCTCGACCTTGAACAATGGCAACCTCGAGGTAGGTGGATAAGAACAATAAAATAATAAGGCAAGTCAGATGAACAGTAAGCAAGAAAGTAAAACATGTATATTCTCTTCTCAACGATTCGTGTGTTACAAATGATTGGGACCCCCTTTATATAGTGGGGAATCCTAAATAAGGTACATTTCTAATTACTCAAAATCTTTTTATACAGTTGTCTAACCGCCTAGTACAAATCCGTTTCGGAATTTACGCCGTGATCTTAGGGCCACCGCGGGAATCTTGCTCTTTCTGTTATAAAACCACAACGGTATTATCTCGAGGTTGGTAATATTCGACCCCGGTGTTCATCGAGCACTACGATCTTCGAGTCATGTATTCTGCCATAGGGCTCGAGCCCGGTCCACATCAAACTTGTTCTCGACGCGACCCCTCGAGCCTACAAAATCGGGGACACCTGATTTTGACCGTATACAGTTTGATAATTACTTGGATCATAGGTTAAATTAATTCTATTAATAAAAAATAAAATTTTAATATGATATGGTATATACCAAATATAGCCTTTTATTTTTTAAGTCAAAAAGGTATTATTAAGTAACCTTATTATCCTAAATAAAATAAAGGCTGAATACATATGGAGACACTTAAAGTTGGCACGCTTTTTCATTTAGACACCTAAACTCAAGAGTGTTCCTATTGAGCACTTATACTACCCGAAACTTATTCCAATTGAGCACTTCTTGCTGAGTTGGAACATAAAGTGAGTTTCACCGATATAGGCGCGTGAAGACCCCAATCAATAGATTTTTTATTTTTTTCTTTTTTATTTCCTTCTTCTTCTCCCTCAAAAGCAAAACAGATCTGCCAGTTGTCTCTTCACTGCCGGAATCCAGCGAGAGAAATCGGCGGCCTCATCCTCTCCAAAAAACCAACGAGCCCCCCTCTCTTCTTCTTCAACCCTAAGAAACCAGCTGCACCACATCTCCTCATCTCCAGCCGCCGCCGCAACAAACCAGGCTGCTCTAAGAGATTTCCGGCCACCACGCTGCCGCTGGACTTCATCGTCGGCGGCTAGCGACCCATCTCCAAGACCATAGCCGCCAGAACTCCAACCCAGCCGCCTCTTCATCTTGCTCGGGTCATCGCTGGCCGGAGAGAAGCAGCTGCACCCCCTTCTTTCTCTCCACCCTTGATTAAAACTGAAATGAAGAAGGCTGAAATTGTTGAAATTTTGTTGCACTGATTTTGGGTATCAAGACGCGTTCTATTTCGTGGATTATTCCATCCGGTTTAATGATATCATCTGGGCGAGTGGGAATCATGTGGAAGAGGAGAAGCTTTTGGAGGGATTTGAGATTCCCGGGTTCAAGCAAGAAATTGTTGAAATCTTGTTGCAGAGAACTGCGACTAAATGAAAGCCACCATTAATAGGGTCTTTAAAAAGCTTGAAGGTTTAAAATGAGTTACTTGATTTGATGAAAGTTTGGAAAATTAATATTGGGGTTGTCTTCGGGTCTTCGTGGGGAATCTTTAGCTGAAGTTATAACAAATTTGGAGGAGTTTCTCTTAAAAATTTGGATTAAAACCGTGCTTGGAATAAGAACACACATAAAAATCGTGAAGAACACCAAGACCACTAATTATTTTGTTTATTAAATAGATTTAACATAGTTTTTCCTTTTTTTTTTACTCAAAATAATATATGTTCTTTTTTTATTCGTCATTCGCCACGTCAGTATTGAGTGCATTTCACAAACTTTGTAAGTTTGGCTGATTGTCAAAGAAGTGCTCAATTGGAATAAGAGGGTGTTTGGCTAAGCTTATAAGCTGGTCAAACGGGCTTATAAGCACTTTTTGGCTTATCTACGCGTTTGGTAAAATTAAAAGTGCTTATAAGCCAAAAATAAGCCAAAAGCCATAAGTTGGTCTCCCCTAACTTATCAAATTTCAGCTTATAAGCACTTTAGGTTTGACCAAAATATTTACTATTCTATCCATAAAATACTTCTTTTTAAAACAAAACTCTTGGTATACCCAGTTCTTCAGCTCCTCATTATAATTTCAACACTTTTATCCAAACACGTAACTGCTTATTTTTTAAATCAGCTTAAGCACTTAAAAATGTTTTTCAGCATCTAATGCTTATCAGCTACTCTAAATCAGCTAAGCCAAACAGGCTCTAAGTTTCGAATAGTATAAATGCTCAATAGAAATACCCTTAAGTTCAGGTATTTAAATGAAAAATCGTGCAAACTTTAAGTGTCTCCGTGTGTATTCATCCTAAAATAAAAGTGATTTTGATGGGATAATCCCATCCAAGAATAGGAACAATGGAACATTCTCAAATCTGTTCGTTGATGTGACGTACTACTATTTTTAATCATTCATTGTCTTTAGTCTTTAGGATCGGTTCGCTCTAATAACTTTACCGAGATTATTTCCATTTTCCAGAAAAAAAGATTTCATCATTTTTCGAAATAAATGCCACCTAGTTTTCTTAGTTCGAGAAGAAGTCCTGTACGATCCACGTGTCCCCAAAAAGATATTAGGCTAGCGGCGATATATATCCATTAATTAAAGAATAAAATGGAAGTACTACATCGCCTCGCTGGTTTCGCTCCTTCCCCGAATTCAGAGAAAGGTTTTGCCAAAGGCGTGATTTTGATATGGCTGGGAAGGTGATGCATGCTCTCCAATACAACTCTTATGGCGGCGGTGCCGCTGGCTTGAAGGTATTCTCACTTCCGCTCTTCGCTTTCCTTTTTTGCATTCATTTGACATATCAGTTACTATTTTTGAGTGTTTACATATTCTATTGATTCTTTGGGACGTTACTGAAGACAGAGTCTTCAACATGGTTACAGTTAGGTATTTTAATAGGCTCATTTCTCATTAGAAAATTGCAGAAATAGTTGTTTGAAGAGGGCTCTTGATGACGACCGTCGTCTAAACCTATTTAATTGGCCCTTGGACTGTTAAACTTACGTCATTAGAAATTTAGAATTCTTCGATTGTATTCTTAAGACTCAAAATTTAAAATTGGCAGGATGCTTGAATTTATTTGAAGTTTAAAGAGAAAAAATTATTTTTGAAATGATAATTACCTACTCTATAGGAAACTTTTCTGGTTGGGGATTGGGTATCACAAAAAGGCGTAGAATTAGATGTGAGAAGATGATATCTGCCATTAGTTAAGAATTGAGTATAATACTTTATCATTATTTCCCGTTTACTGGTCTGGAAATTAAGTTTTTGCTTCGTAGCTTTTACAAAAAGGGATTTAAAATACTCTAGTAACAGAAGCATACAGAAGGGCTTTATTTTGATGCTATTAAACTTTAGAAGGCTTCCTACTTCTTGTCCTATGTATTTTGATAACCATCCTCACATGTATTCGAATTTTCATGGTTGAGTAGATAATAAAACTTTAGGTGAGGAAATTTTAAGAGTTGAATAATCCAGCTTATTTTCTGCTTCAGTTGTGTATGCAGTGGAACTTCATAATGCGAAGGTGCAAGAGTTAAGGGGAAAGCGATGAGTCTTCTAAGCTCTTGAATTTCCAGAATACCATAATCCTTAAGCAGATAAAAAAGTAATGACAAAGAAGTAGGATTATGGTAAATGGTGGTTTGGTTAAGATGGAATAAATTCCTATAAACAAAAGTTACTTGTATTTCTTAGATGATGTTATAGAGTTATTAATTAATCTTAAAAGGGCTGATTCATTCCAAGCAGCTTGATATCCTACTATTCCCTTAAATTTGTTTGCTCTCATGTCTTTCTCCTAGTAAAACTGTTTAATCCAACAGTTCAGTCGTGTGCTGAAATGGTAACCTCAGAATTCAGCTGTTGTTAAGGCAGTAGTTGGACAGCAGTAGAGTTGGGCTTGGATTTTCCTCGTGGCCTTGGCCTTTCCGGGATATTAAGATTTGATAGGCCTCAGATACCTTTTATTATATTCTAAAAAGGAGCTATCTCTTAATAGCCTCAAAATGCCTTTTGATATGTCTCCGTGCAACACACACATACACGCGTGCGAATGTACTTGGTAATTACTCCCTTCGGTCCATAATAAGTGACCAATTTGCTTTTTTATTTTGGTCCAAAATAAGTGTTCATTTATATAACCAAAAAACAATTCAATTTGTTTTTCCAAAATTATCCTCATGTACGTATCCCTAAAAAGTCTTTTACTCCTCACATTAACTATGCTGCAACATTTAATTAAGGGTAGTTTAGTCATACTACCTACTCTTGTCTAGAATTTAGTATTTCCTTAATGGGTGTGCCAAGCAAATTGGTCACTTATTGTGGACCGGAGGGAGTATTAGTTACATGATTTTCCAACAGTGGGTAGCGTTCAGCTTGGGTGCTATTTTTGACAAAACAATTTTACATTTGCTTTCGACAAAAAGGAGAAATGAAAAAAGATTCATTCTCTCCTTGTATTTGTAAGGAGAGCTTGAAAAATGCCTTCTGCTACGTAGCTCTGCATACATACAGGGTCGTGCATGCTTTCCGGGGAAATTGATGTTTAAGCATGAAACTACGTAAAATATTTAATCAAAGTGTAATTTTATCAGTCAATGCAAGTCAAACTATCAAACCACAATACCAACGAGAATATACTGAAATTTGGGTAATGTCGGTGTGATAATATATGGGGTCAATTAGTATGGAAATAAGGATTAGGTAATGCAACTTGCAAATTAACCGGGCCAATGCCAACTAAAAACAAGGTTAACTAACTCAGTCTATTTTTCCAAGATAACACTATTCAAAAATCATTTCCTTACAAAAATCTCAATCTAGACAACATGCAGCTTCAAAAATGGGCTCATTTTAAAAATCTTCTCTCACTATTCCCCACTTAGTTTCCCTTCCTTTATCTGTTCCTCCCAACCAGCATATCAACCTGCAAAGAAACAAAAGATCCTCTTTCCCCTGCTTAATTTTATATCTAAGCCCAAATTATCATAACTCTGAAATATAGTAGACTCTGTAATAGTAGATTTCTTAGCTACAACCATTGAGTACTAAAGATACCCACTATTTGTGGCTATGGGATGATAGGAAGATATTGGAGTGTAGGATACATGGTTCAAGGCAAAGGGATTTGGAGGATTGTTAAAATATTTTAATAAATAAAAGTTAATTTTGAAAAGTCTAAGATGGCTTTTTCTTAAGTAGCATATCTTCTAGCTTTGATTGTGTTATTATTTCTAGACAAGTACTATCTTTGGAAATAACTTCCTAAATTGAGCGTTACTTTGAGGAAAAAGAAAATGAAGGAAGAAAAGATCAACTTCACCAACCATGAAGCATGAAAGACCTTTTCTAGGTGATTACCCGTATTTTAGTAACTAATATCCCCGAATTGGTCATTTGAGTAGAAAAATTGAGTGTAGTATACATATAAAATTTCATTTGATGTTTATTAAGTAAAGTTTTCTTTTGTCACCATTTGGATTTTGCGTCTTTATGGAGATACAGTTCTTGTTTAATGAATTGCTGTTATTTCCCGTATATTATTTTGTCTTATTCCCTTTGTCTGTAATTTGTTTTAAGCACTTTTGCGAATGAGACTGCTCATATACTCCTGGTAAGATTTCATCTAATATTAGAACCTTTCCCATTGTATGCACGTCTTTACTTCTTTCAGCATGTCGAAGTTCCTGTGCCTACACCGAAGAAGGATGAGGTCTTGCTAAAACTGGAGGCTACAAGCTTAAATCCTGTTGACTGGAAAATTCAGAAGGGCGTGCTTCGTCCTCTTCTGCCTCCCAAGTTTCCTTTTATTCCTAGTAAGTTCAATCATCAATACATCCAGAAATTTTGTCAGAATTTCCTTGCACACTGTTTTTAGTGATTTTTGATTTTGGTAGTGGTTGCCTTGTGTTTCATGTTCTTGAATGTTTTTCGCATCAGCTTTAGTATGAGAGTCTTTGGCTAGGCTTTCTCAAACACTATGTATTACCTATCAAAAATCATCTCCTTTGACAATTTAAAATAGTTTGTCTTCTTGTTCCCTTTTCTAGAACCCTGGGCTGATTTAATAGAGAATTTCTTATGGGTGTTCCTACGTTGAGCAACTCTTTCATTGCCCGTTTTGTCTGGCCAACAAAACAAAAATGCCTTGGTACTTGGCTGTTAGGTTTATACAAGGCTCGCGCACACACAAAAAAAAAAATCGCGATTAACTCAGGGAACTGATAGAGTTCGCTTAGAAGCTTATTGATATTCAATTCTTTCACTGCAGATGATATATCTTAAAGCTCATTCCTGGCATGTATGCATTTGCCTAGAGTAGAGGTCCCAAAACACTCAAAATCAGGATACTAATAATCTTCTTGGACTATTTACATATAAATCCACATGCAATATATTTTAGTCAACAACTTATCTTGAAGCTGTATGGACAAAGTGAAGACCCTGTCAAAAAATTTCACAGCAATAGGGATAACATGAATTGCAGGAAATGTGGTAGAAAGGTTTACATAGAAGCTATACTGCTATACAATATGAATTTTTAAACCAGAGTAGGAGACAAAATCAGTATTAAGTATCTGAGAGATTAAGAATGACGGCGTGAAAAGGTGAAGAATTTGATTGGCAAAGGATTTAAGGTTATAAAGTTGTTAGAATTGGATTTTTTTTTGCTTGTGTAGCATTTAATGAGTAAGTTGATCTGAACTGGTTGGATTCCGAAAATAAAAGGAACTAACGTGTGAAGCTGCCAGAAAGATCAGCTTTGCTCAATAACATCAACTATTGTTACTGGTAATGTACTTGAACAGGAAGTTAACTCTTGAACTTCAAGACATCATGGCCATTATCTTTAAGGGTCGGTTTGGAAAGCCATGTGAAATTACCTAGATGTGTAATTACTAGGTAGTAATTACATGGTATTTACACAGTATAGTAATTATAATAAACTGCTTGTTTGGCAAAAAGTAATTACAGTGATATTCCCACTGTCATGTTTGGTTGGACAACTGTCATTATATGGTAAACTTTTTTCCAGATTAATTTGTATATTAGTTTTACCGTGTGACAAACATATATGTAAATAAGAAATATCAATATTAATTTTAATTTATTATGAGGTATTTAAAATAAATATGTCTCTGAAAATATTAAATAATTATAAATTGGTAAATAATATCATAAGGTATTACGATAGGTTTAGGCTAATTTGTAAGAACAAAAGAGCTTTCTTATTTTGATAGATTATTAATGAGTTGAAATGATACGGACATCAGGTATATTAGATTTCAGAATAATATACCAATGAATTTATTATTGGAATAGCAACAATTTGATCAAATATTGAAATCTAACCGACCAAGTGATTCCCGACTAACCAAGTGATTACTTGGCCAAACAAACAGACCAAACTGTGTAATACACTCAATTACACCCAAATCCAATTCACTTTTATCTAATTATAGGGAGTACTTGCATTGATGCATTGCAATATGCACATTTTATACTTGTGATTTTTGGTGCTCTAAACAAATTTTGATCATAACAGCTACCGACGTGGGAGGAGAGGTAGTAGAGGTAGGATCTAGTGTAAAAGATTTCAAGGTCGGTGACAAGGTTGTGGCTATGCTTAATACCCTGGTAAGTCCGATTCTTTTTCCATGGGCCAACAGTAGTCCTCCAAGTTACTCAAATTCCTGATCTCTTGTTTGGAAGTGGACTCACATGACGAGAGCAATCTGCTCTTGTCCTATCTTGTAGTATTTCTCCTTCTTTTGCTTAACCATTTCACTTTGAACCATAATATGGTGTTCTACCCTTTATGCTTGTTGGATCTTCATGAGCTTTGATGCAGAATGGAGGTGGATTGGCTGAATATGCGGTGGCTAAGGAGAGTTTGACTGTTCCGAGACCAGCCGAAGTATCAGCTGCTGAAGGTGCTGGTCTTCCTGTTGCAGGTGTTACAGCTCTTCAGGCCCTTGTAAATCCTGCTGAGGTCAAGCTCGATGGAACTGGACCCCGGAAGAACATTTTAGTTACAGCTGCCTCCGGTGGTGTCGGTCACTATGCTGTGCAATTGGCGAAACTTGGTAACGCCCATGTTACTGCTACCTGTGGAGCCCGTAACTTTGATTTTGTGAAGAGCTTAGGAGCAGATGAGGTTCTTGATTACAAGACCCCAGAGGGAGCAGCTCTTAAGAGTCCATCAGGCCAAAAATATGATGCAGTAATTCACTGTACTACAGGCATTCCTTGGTCTACCTTTGAGCCTAATTTAAGTGCGAAAGGGAAGGTCATTGACCTTACCCCTGGACCTAGTGCGATGTGGACCTATGCGGTAAAGAAACTAACCTTCTCAAAGAAGCAGTTGGTGCCATTGCTTTTAATTCCCAAGAAGGAGGACCTGGACTTGGTTGTTAGGCTTGTGAAGGAAGGGAAACTTAAAACAGTGATCGACTCCAAACATCCCCTGAGCAAGGCTGAAGATGCTTGGAGCAGGAGCATTGATGGACATGCAACAGGAAAGATTATTGTGGAGCCATAGAGTAGTCTTTCAAATGATGTTAATGTTATATAGGTGTGTAATAAAAGGTATGGGAGGCATGTATATTATGACAGGTAAATCTACCCAGCGATAACAATTTTCATTTGCCTTGTATGTTGTGTGATAAATCTTTATTTCTCTGGGAGTTGTTTAATGACTTGTATTTTACTGAGTAGTCTCTCTGTTCCCTCCCAATCCTGCAGTTTCAAGTAATTCCTGCATATACTGTTGAGGCTGGTTTATAGATGGAGCAAAATTTTATCAGTGACCAGAGAAATACAGATTTATAGAGATTCAATACTCCTGTAGATGTCATTATTGACGCCAAATGAAAGATGGAAACTTCAAACTTTTCAATGTGAACAATCAAAACGTCGGCTGCCAAATCTATAAAAGCTGCCTACATTAGTAGTCTTTGTAGTCTTTGTCAAAGGAAGAAAAACATCTTCCTCAAAGCATGGACCATGGGATGGACCCATCAGTTTTAACTTGAAGATTTTTTTGGGTAAGTAAAACAATTAATATTGGGAATTTTTTCTATATATACTATAATAGGAACTAATTTACCTACTTTCTCTAGGTTTTGTAGTTTTCAAAAAGTATCTAAATTTTATTTACAAATTATATATATTCCTTCCTTAAAAGACTCTCACCCCATTAATATAATTAAAAGATTTAATTATATCCTTTCCTTTTTTCTCTCTTCTCCTCATTCCTTGCATCCTAATTTCTTTAGTAGATCTCTTTTTCTCTCTCTTTGATAGTTGTACGTCTTCAACAAAAAGCTGGCAATTTTTCTTCATTGTCGAATGATTTTGGTTGGAACCATCCAATACTGGATATAACGTCGTAAAGGAAAATTTTATGTTCCTATTATTCTTAAAATATTAAGAAAGTGATCCCTAATCTAACAATTCCAATAACACGGGACTGCTTTCCAGAATAGCAACAAAAAATTTTTTTTGTGCAGTTAAAAATCTATACACACGAAAATATCACGATATAAAAAATATTCATTTGCTAACCAAGTATCTTGGACAATTCAAAAATCCTTAAACTCTAGCAAAATTATTATTAATAGGATAATTGCCCGTACAAATCCAAATGTGAAATAGGACACAAACTTACAATTGCTCATAGCCATATACAACTAATATACAATTATCATACAATTTTTGCAACAATTATGATACAATCATGGTACAATTCTTAAAAATTGTGATATAATTCTGATCTTCATCTTCTTCAAGTTTCAATCACAACTCTAAACTTAAAGTCTGATACAATATTATATTATAGTTGTATTGGCATTGTATCAGGTGTTGTTTTAGGTATTGATGTATCATATACAACTTTGATACAATTGTGATATAATTATGAAATAAATCCGGTACAATTACGATACAATTATCATACAATCGTAATACAATTCGAAAACTACTTTTCTTCTTCGAGTTTCGATATAGTTTTACCTAAAACCAACTCTAAAGTTAACCAATCTTCCTCAAAATTGATATATAAATTCAAAAGTATATTCTCAATTGTTTGCAAGAACACCCAATTCAAAACAATTCACAAAATTCATAAAACCCTAATATTGATACAATTGTGATACAATTATCATACAATCATGATATAGTTCTGAAACTTCTTCTTTTTTCGAGTTTCAATCTGAAATATTACCTAAAAATAAATCTAAACTTAACCAATCTCCCTCAAAATTGAGATATAAACTCCAAGGTATATTCTCAATCGTTTGCAAGAACACACAATCTAAACAAATCACAAATCCGTAAAATTCAAATATTGAATTCAAAATTTTTTAATGGTTGTCAATGGAGAATACTTTGTTGCTACAATTTTGGAAATAATGTTCATGAAATTGTGTGAAGAGGGAGAGATTTGGGTTGATTTGTATGAAGCTTAAGAATTTTTTGAAATCTTTATGAAAATGGGATGCAACGTGATTTAGGGGCTTTGTATATATACGAGGGTTGGGGTGGGTGGGGGGGGGTAGTAACGTGGGATGGGGAAAAGGGCTATTTCAGTTACATCCTAATTTTAAGGGATACTCTCTTTATTAAGGTTTTTTATATAAGTAGTAAATATAGATAGAGAATATAATTTTTAAGAAACCTATAGAAAAATGGTAAATAAGTTTCTATTATTGTATAACTAGGTAAATTTCCCATTAAAATTAGAGAAAACTAGACGGAACTTTGTTCAAGCCCAAGTCGGTGATGAATTCAAGCTTTGAAGCCTAAGCAACCTCCATGAAGACGTCTCTGATATTTAGTTTTTGCCTCCACACTGTGTGAATCAAATAAACTTTAATGGATCTGATACTATTTCTTTATTAGTTCGCCCTAGCTAAAAGTGAGAAATTTTTGTATATCTGAAAATAAATAATTTTACAATTCACGTTGACCCTTAGTGAGACCTTTTTTAGTCAATTTGTAGAATGAAATGTGGAGTAAATCTTTTAGGCTAGTATGTTAGAAGAAGTTACTCGAATGTTTTAAATAATCAATGCATGAATAAAACATGAGAAAAAGTGTCAATAGTGCATATGTTGGGTTTTAAACGTTGATATAAGCTAATGCCATTAGTGTGATACTTGATTGAATTTTGAAATTATTTCTTGACATTGTGTATTAATTTTAAAGTTGTTCGAGGACGAGAAAGAGTTTAACTGTGGAGCGGTGATAATTGAAAAAAAGTACATATTTTAGATATATTTGCATCCTATATATTGTGTGATTTGATGAAGATTTTATGAGTATTTGTGTGATTTATACTCCTTGTATGTTTCTTAAGTGTAGGTATGAGTTTGGAAAAGTGGATCAAAAGAGGATGAAATCGTGCGAAATGGAAAGTGAAGACACATGAAAAGAGTTGAAGGCAGCTCACCCGAAGGATGTGTGTCAATGGAGAAGTAAATGAATCAGAGGAGTCAGCGCTCACTCAAAACAGTAACATGAGGTCCATTGTGCGAGCCTGCGCGAGAAAAGAAGACAAAAAAGAAAAAGAAAAAGAAAAAGAAATTTACAGCTCGTTCAAAGGGCTCGCATCGCGCAAGACCTAGACGCGCTCTCAGTGATTTCCAAACAGAATTGGATTGCATTAGACAACCTCCTAGATGACCTATGTCATATAAATATCCATGAAACATCTTGGGACGGAGGGTCACATCTTTTGAGGTAGACATACAAAGAGCACAAGATAAGGGCAACGAGTTCAGCCATTTCTTTCATTGTTCGTTTATGAATTTTAGCTATTATTTTGAAAACCGCGTTATGAGTAACTAAATACTTTTATTCTCATTTGTGGTTGCCATAATTATTGACACTTGTTGATTACTATTTTGTTAATATGAATTATTATTTAATTTGTAAATTCTATAGCTACCAATTTATCTGTTATTTATGCTATCATTTTAGATTAGACTACAATTAAATAGGGCTTGTTTTGGAAATCACGTATCGAAAAAAGATTCCGCGGTTAAGATAGAGAAATATCTAGAAGTCTGGCTAGGTTGAATGTCGTACTATATCCGTGCATAATAGATTCAATACCATAGGGATATATAATTGATATATTATGAATAGGCAAATATTACTGCAGGAGCATACTATTCGTTAAATGGTCCAGTTAACTAGTAACCATAGATAATTTGGATTAATAGGGTGTAATTAGGATTGATAAATTGACCACAACCCTAGAATCTTCATCTCAATTGGTTAAGTCATAATCATAAATACTTACATTCTTGTTAGTTAATTATTTGTTTATTTTTTGCTATAATAGTCTAGTCACAACCGCCACTCTTTGATAACCTTGAACCGATAATAAATTTTTGCCAGCTTAGGTAGTGATTAAACGAAGTGTTTGTGCGTTCGATATTCGGCTTTCGAGTTACTTTATTATGGGCCTTGTATATTTTGTATGTACTTTGGGAACCAACACTTATGTAATAGTCATAGAAAGGTCTAGATCTGTTAGTGTAGTTATACTTATTGTTTGGGGCATAATATGTTCTGAAATAGTTTGGACTTGCTGTATTCACATTTAGTAATGTAGATTCAATAACCAAATTGGTTACTTGGCCTAATTTCTTTATTGATCTTCTTGAATTATCATTAAAAAAGCTAGTATTATTGAGCATATTGGATTCATCATGAGAAAACTTTCTCGAAGTACAGCGTTGTCACGACCCAAATCTTAACCTGTCGTGATGGCGCCTATCGTGGTACTAGGCAAGCCAACTTTTATGAATAACTCCAACACTTTTAACAAAAATGGATTTTTAATGCAGTTTAAATAGCAACTTCTCATAAACAAGATAGAAAGATCCAAACACAACGCGAAAAACTCCCAAATTGGGGTGTCACAGAGTACATGAGCATCTGAAGATCACAAGTCTGGAATACACTGTCAAAGATAGTCCAAAATTAAATACAATAAAAGGAAAGATAGAGAAGGAGAAACAAGGAGTGCGAATGCCGGACAGCTACCTCGAAGTCTCCAAGGTCAACTGTGCAGAGTATCAACACCCACCGTGTCCGGAAATACCTGGATCTACACACAAAGTGTAAGGAACTTAAATCTACAAAATCAACTCTCCAAATCCCTAGCCTCAAACCCCCAAATTACACCTCAAAAACACATAAACTAGGTGGGAAAATCAATGGGAAACAAGATTATTGATAAAAAACGAGCACAAGGAACTTACCTCAAGAATCTCTTCAAAAACCCTCTCAAAAATCGCCTAAGCCCGAGCTCAGAATGTTAAAAATGGTGAAAATCGTTTTTATATGTTCTGCCCAGGCTTTCCGTTTCTGCAGCATCGCTTCTGCGGTCCCTCATCCGCTTCTGCGAAAATCACCTAATGTAACCAACCGCTTCTGCGGTCCAAATCCCGCTTCTGCGGACTAGTGGCTCCCAAGACAATTCCGCTTCTACGATCCTCTACACGCAGGTGCGAGTCTACACATGCGGAATTCTTCCCGCCTCTGCGCTCCACAGTCCCCCAGCCTAATCTTCGCTTCTGCGCATCCCAGCTCGTACCTGCGAGCTCGCATCTGCGGTGCCCACTCCGCATGTGCGATTACACCAGCAGCTGCAAAATCTTCAGCAATTCTTTAAGTTTAATACTTGATCCGTTAACCACCCGAA